CCATCGTCGGCGCCGCCATCCCCAGACATCCGACTACAGTCGGACCTAGGACAGGAACATCCTTCGAGAACACGAGACCATTCGCCGGCCGGAACACACAGAACACCCCACACCCTCCCCAGGACGTACAAGTCCATCCAACAGACACGAAGACTATTAGTGCACCCTCCCAGAACCGACCTCGATCTTATCACTCGGTCTGGCTGTACGCGGCCCACGGGGGCCAGAAAACCTTGTGCCGACTCAGCGCTGGCGGCCGCTGCTCGAACCTTTCGCTTCCCAGTGCTCGGAGTACCGGGAGCACGCCTTCGCAGGCTCACGTGATCACTCCTCGGGGGCAAGCTCTGTAAGCCTCTCTTCCCGTGTCCTGCGCAGTCCTGGCTCTGCAGCCGTGCGGGATCTGTGTCTTGTCTGTCCAGAGGGTCCCGCCCCCTTCGGCGGGGCAGGTTGTCGCCCCGGATCCACGTCTGATGACTCCCAAGGCCCGATAGCGGGCCCTGGAGCCCAAAAAGATGGAACGCCGCACCGATTGACAAGAACGCGGGTAGGTCTTCGTCGCCGCCACGGCGCTGCTGCCGTCGCCGCCGCCATCGCGAGGGGCAAAGATAGAAGGGGGGGGGGACTGGCTCAAAAGGGGAACATCGACTCGGAATCGGCGATATATCGCCGAGACATCGCCGATAAATCGGCGATAGGCTCAAGTCGGGCCTGTCCCTCTACAGGAAGAAAATCCAAAAATAGTCCAAAAATATCCGGGGACGATTTTCTTGAATTTTTGAAGATTTTTGGATTCTTTGTGGACTTTTAATTCTCCATCCAAAATCCTCCTTTAGGGGGACAGGCCCGACCTAACGATAGGCCCCCGATCGCCCATCCGCACGCTCCTGGGCGGGTGAGCTATCGGGCCCTTCTCGGCGATGAATGCGCGACTCGGGGTCGATGCATTCGCCCGGAGCCCGTCCCCCCCTTGTCGTTGCCCCCTGGCGTTCGGGCCAGATTGAACTCGGCTCTCTCGGAGGCGACGACAGGGGCGAACAGCCCAGGGACGGGCACTACACGTAGTCGCCCGGGAGACGCTTCGAAGACATCGATCATCGGCGCACCCGAATCCCTGTACTCCAGAGTTCGTAATAAAAGGGAGGGGGTCTGGACCCTGCAAGACAAGCCATTTCAGACCCCCCCCGTGGGAGAACCCTCCCAAACATCGTCCCCAGACCCCCCCAGGCCCTCCAAGATGGCCTGGAAGAGACCCCCCCCGAAATGAGGCCCCCCTCCCTTTCTTACGAAATCTGGAATATTGCTCTCCCGTGGGCTGCTCGCCCCCATCGTCGCCTCTCACTCCCCGGCGGCCGATCGGGACGAGCCGGGAGCCCCGGGCACGCTCCCGGCGAGGCCGCCGCCGCGGCCGGAGGGCACGCCAGAGCTGCAGGGCTGCCGAGGCCCTGCGAGGCAAAGGCTCGCCGACCTCAGGGAGAGGCCCCCTCTGAGCCTGCCATCAAGGCGGGCGTGCCCCCCCTACCGGGGGACCCCTTCGACGGAGAACAAAAAAAACAATACGCCCAAAATAGCCCCCCCCCCCAACAGAAAGGTCGAACAATGAAAAGTAGTCCCACAAAAATCCAAGCATGCTCGAAAATACAAAACAATGGTCCCAAGACTATTTTTGGACTATTTGGGAATCTTCGCCCCGTACAGGGACGGGCCCGCCTCAAGCCTACCGCTCCTTTCAGGAGGAGAAAAAACACACAGACACGATTCACCATCGATTCCCCAGAAAGTATGGGAAAATATGGGAAATGGGGGGGGGGGTAAGACAAAGACCAAGAAAATATAAGAAAATATGGGGGACCCTGTTATTTGTGTGTATCTATTTGTGTGTCCCAGGGCCCCTTCACATTCCCCTTCACACTCCCTGTAGAGGGACAGGCCCAACTTAAAGCTACCGGCTTAGACACAAATTACCGGATTCCCGATATTTTCCCACATGTTCTTGGTTGTCCCATGTGGGAATCGACGATGCATTGTGTCTGTGTGCTGCTTTCCCTCCTGCCCTTACGAGCCCACCGCTCCCTGCTCGGGCGCACGCTGACCCCCCGCAGCGCGAGGCCGGCGCCGCCCGACTCGGCGGCGGCGCGCGGCGGCTTCGACTCCCGCGGTGTTTTATAGAATCGAAGGGGCCCCTGGGACACGCAAGTGGATACACACAAATGAGAGGATCCCCCCAATTTTCCCATATTCTCTTAGTCTTCGCCCCCCCCCCCCTTCCTGCGGTGTTTGTGATAGGAGGGGAAAAAAACACACAGACACAATGAATCGTCGTCGAGCTCCAGAAACAACATGGGAAGACATGGGAAGTGGGGGGGAGGACGAGAACCCAGAAACTGTAGGAAAGTATGGGGAATCTTTTTATTTGTGTATTTATTTGTGTGTCCTTGGAAGGGGCCCTGGGACACACAAATAGATACACACAAATACCAGGATCCCCCATATTTTCTCACATTCTCTTTGTCCTCCCCCCCACACCAGCGGTGTTCTTTATAATAAGAAGGGAAACAACACACAGACACAATGAACCGTCGATCCCCAGGAACAACATGGGAAAACATGGGAAGTGGGGGGGAAGACGAAAACGGAAGGGGCCCTGGGACACAAAAGTAGATACACACAAATAAGAGGATCCCCCATAGTTTCCCATATCCTCTTGGTCTTTGTCTTCCCCCCCCACTTCCCATGTTTTCCAATATTTTCGGAGGGATCCGCCGACTCATTGTGTCTGCGTGTTTTTTCTCCTGTTTCATAATTGAAGGGGCCCTGGGACACACAAATAAGTTCGGCTGCACGCAAGAATGACCCTGGGCAAGAGTGACCTTTCGTGCGCGGCTTTCTGGGGGCCGCGGGGGGCCACACACGAGCGCGCAAGACGCTACTGCCGAATCGCGTTCGGCGATCGGGGGGCCCCATTGGGCCCGCACCAAAGGTCACTCTGGCGAAAGGTCACTCTTACGTGTAGTCGATAAATACACACAAAGAACATAATCCCCCTATATTTTCCTATAATTTCTTGGTCTTTGTCTTCCCCCCCCACTTCCCATGTTTTCCCATATCTTCTGGGGAATCGACGATGCATTGTGTCGGTGTGTTTTTTTCTCCTCCTGCATACTTGCTGGCATGCTTGTCCGATGGTACTCGTCAAACAATGTGACGACCAAACCAGGCTTCGTGACATTTTCGGGCGCGACAGGTGGGTTGTCGGACGGTGCTCAGACAGGACGGGCTCTGCAAGGAAGCGGGGCCAATGACTTAGAGGCCTCTCATATGGGGTCCGAGCAGATGGGTCGGAGGATCGCGCCGCCTGGCCGACACATGGGCGATGCATCGGCGATCCGTCGGCGATGCGTCGGCGATGTGTCGGCGACCTTGGCGTGGATAGCATCGGGCCCCATATCGAGCCGCATCGCCGTCGCATCGGCGATGCGGCGAGTTCCTCCGACACCACCTGCTTCGATCCAACTTCGAAGGCCTGGATGTTTGCGTGGCCCTGGCCACCGCGAGTGCGTGTCGTGGCGACCCTGGCATTGGTTCCTGACACCGCGAAGACCGTTCAACCTTGGGCGATCGCTGGTTTCCGAAAGGTCGAATCGTTCAACATCGACCGATTCTTGGTCGCCGGCGGGGACCAACGTTGGACGCCAGCGACGGAGTTGCCGCCAGTCGACACGAAGCGAACCTACTGTGACGTCGCCGCCGCCGCCCTTGGGCTGCCTGGAGCGAAGTCGGGTCTCTGGATCTCTTCCGGGGTGCTCTCTGACAAAGATTGATTTCGAGGCGAACGACGAGGGCCTTCCAGGATGCCCAAGATAGTTAAAACGAGGGAAGGGTAGCGGTGTCGGTACCTCGTTACTCCTCTGAAGTCCAGTGCCGCCGACCACACTAGGGAGGCCTGGATGTTTGCGTTCCCTCGGCTAGACAAAGACGCTCAACTATTCGCAAACAAGAACTGCTCGCCAATGGCCTGGATCTTCCGCGATGGATCCACGATCCACTACATCGTGGCGAACATGCGTTTTGCGGACGTTTGCGAATAGTCTCTTTGCGAATAGTGGAACGCGCTCGCTGATCGGCTACCGTCGCCTGAACGCAAGAGTGACCCTAGGCAAGAAAGACCTCTGGTGCGCGGCATAGCGGGAGACGCGCGGTGGCCAAACCCAGACGCGCAAGCCGCTGCTACCGCTTCGCGTTCAGCGATCAAGGGATTCCTTTGAGCCCCACCAAAAGTCTCTCTGGCGAAAGGTCCCTCTTACGTCTAGTGCTACGGTCATGGTCATATTCTGACTGTGCAGTTGGGAATGCGCCTGTACACGTTAAATGCTCCGCACGTAGCGTGTATCCTGCGTGGCTGGTACCTCGCGTGTACATCGAAGTGCTGCTTCACGTCGCCCGACCCTGCTTCGCGTGTGCGCCCCCGTGCTGCTTAGCGTGTCAACAACTTCGGCTTCGCACAACCCGCTAAACACAAAACCAAGACCGTAACTAGAGGCATCCTAGATGGGGTCCGAGTAGATGGGGTCGGAGGATCGCGCCGCATCGCAGATGCATCGGCGATGCATGGTCGACGTGGGCGATGTATTGGCGACGTCGGCGTGAAGCAAATCGAACACCACATGGAACCGCATCGCCGATGCACGGGCGATGCGGAACGATCCGTCGGCCCGATCTGCTCGGACCCCATCTCGGAGGCCTAGAATCACAGACACGCCAAGCACAGGAGCAGGACCATAACGTCGCTGCCGCTCGGCGGCGCGCACAGAGGGGTGGAGGGAGGGGGGAGGGCTTCTTGGAAGGAGGCCGCTTCATAGACGGCGCCGGCCCTACATGTATAGATGAGGCCCGCGCCTTCAGAGAAGCAGAGGGGTGCTTCTGAGGAGCCCCCCACCCCCCCCACACACACACCCCATCTGCGCGTGGCTGACGACCGCGACCCGCCGCCGCCGCCGCGGGGCCTCATGGCCTGCATGGCCACGGTGCGCCCGCTCCGCGGGGCCCAGCCCAGGCCGGCCTCCCCCGCCGCCGCCGCGCGGCTGAGGGCGTCCCGTCGCGTCGTCGTCGTCGTCCTCCTCCTCCTCCTCCTCCTCCTCCTCCTCCTCCTCCTCCTCCTCCTCCCCCCTCCTCCCATCCTCCGCACTTGCACCATCAGTTTACGACTCGCCTCTCCCCCGAAGACGTGCTGTGAGTGGCGCGCTCCCCTTCTGCGTAAAAGCTTCTGCACGCGTACTTCGATGATGCCATTTGTGTTGTGTGCTCCCCCAGCTCCGCACGCCGTCGGTCCTTCCAAGGTGGTGCCATCCCTGCAGCGTTGGCCGGAGCTTGGATTGGCGCTCTGCCCCCGTCGCTCGGCCGGGCGCTCTCGCCCCGGCACGGGCCACATGCTGTGGATCCGTGTGAGCCACACGTCTGCGAGGCGGGGACTTGTCCACATCCACCGCCCGGGAACCGACGTCCCGGTGCCCCAGCGGGCGGTGGACATGGATATCTTTCGGCCCCCGGGGGCCCGAGTATGTACATATCCACGGCCTGCCGAGGCTCCCAGGCGGTGGATATGGATAAATTCCCGCCTGGGATTGTCTGGATGCGAGTGAGTCCTCGTCGTCGTCGCCCCCTTTCTTTGCCCTCCCCCGCCCTCCCCTGGTCCACCGCTGACGCAGCACGCGACGTGGAGGCCCCTGGTCCGCCTGCTCTTCCCGCTCCTGCTGCTTCGTCATCCCGCTTCCTCGTCCTCCTCCTTCGTTAGCCTTCTCTTAGGTCGGGCCTGTCCCCCTACATGGGGATCTTAGACGAAAGATAAAAAGTACCCCCAAAAATGTTCAAAAGTACCCAAAAATACTCGACAAATACTCCCCAGACTATTTTTTACCACGTTTGAATATTCCCCCTGTAGAGGGACAGGCCCGACTTCATCCGTCTCCTCTTCCTCCTGCTCGTCCCCCACCTCATCCTACAATGTACACCAATTCCCTCTGCAGATTCCGCATGACACGATGAGGTCCTTTGGGTGCTCCAGGGCCGCTATGACACGGGCAGCGGATTAAGAAGCATCAACGCAATGGAAAGGGATGGGATGGACGGGAAAGATGTCAGGTATGGCACGAGCGCGCCAAGCTTGTCGTAATCCCCCTCCCCTTCTCCTCATCCTCATCCCTTCCCCCCCCCCGCTCCTCCCTCTCCGAGGCTAAGGGATGGAGGCCGTGCTGTCTTGGGAGACTAATGCTCGCCCCTCCCGATCACCGCAGGGCTGGCTCTAGTGGGGGTTAAAGCGTGTGTCACCTTCGGCCGCACCCCAAAGAGAGACCGACAGGAAGCGGAGGAGCAACACAAGGACAAGGAATGCTCCTCCTCCTCCTCCTCCTCCTCCCTCCTCCTCCTCCTCCTCCTCCTCCTCCCCCTCCTCCCCCTCCTCCTCCTCCTCCTCCTCCTCCTCCTCCTCCTCCTCCTCCTCCTCCTCCTCCTCCTCCTCCTCCTCCTCCTCCTCTGGTTCGCTTGGCGCCTTCGGCTGCCCTCCGGAGTGACCTCTGGTGCGCGGGCTGCCGATCGCTGCACGCGGTGCGCGACAGCGGCGGCCTGCGTGCTGGGGCTCGGCCGCTCCCCCGCCGAGGAAAAAACGCACACGTCCGAGCGATGCCAAGCGAAGGGCCACGTTCGATCCACAGCCATCGCGGGCACAGGGCACAGAGCATGCCTCGCTCCCAGGCATCGGCGTCACCTGGCTTCCACCCCCGGCGCCAATCACAGCTCCTCCTGCTCCTCCTCTTCCTCCCGCTCCTTCTCCGGCCCCTCTCCCTCGTCCGCCGCCGTCCAGAAGGGGCAGTTCCGGTGGAAGGTAGGAGGGGGACGGGGAGCGAAAGAGAGGGAGGAGGGGGAGGAGCGGGAGGGAAGACGCGAGACATTGAGAGAGAGAGAGAGAGGCGATGTTGTAATAGAAACTGCACACAGCCACCTTCTCACACGTCCCTATAAAAACTCGCAGGTCGTTCAGTAAATGTCAACTATGTTGCTCGCCATGCTCTTGGCAGTCCTTGTTGGCCAGCTTGGGCCGTTATCCGATGTGGCAACATAAGTATGCTGTCGGAGTCTGCGTCATGGCTACAGTCGCAGAGATGTGCCTAGACGCTGAGGATAAAATGAACTGTCGACTGGAGGACGTTCGCGCTTGCCCCAGATTACTGTTGTATGTTTGTTACCTCGTTTTTTTCCGATATCCATCTTCATGTGTGCAGTTTGGGCGGTCGGAGGCAGGGGGCGAAAGTAGCCAGGACACGAAAGACGGAGGCGAGAGGAGAGATGGGTGGCAAGGTTGGCACGGTCGCGCCAGATCTGGCATCATACCCCAGCTCGTCGTACCTTGCAATGGACCTGAGCCCCTTTGATTCACAGAGTCGAGCGGCGAAGAAGACATGGATCCCGCAAGAGCCACGCTGCCCTCACGCGCGGCAGATGCCGACACGAGGACGCCACCGTTACAGATGCAGCAGCACGGCGACTGTGGCGGCGAAGGCGTCGCTCCGAGGGTCGGAGGCCCCCATGGGAATCTGCACAAGCGGCGAACGCCGCCGAGAATAGCACTGTTCTGATCGAAGCGTGCGACCAACGCTGCGGCGGCAGAGTCGTTCCATTGGACGAAAGTCCGCTTGAGATTCTGAAAGATGGCGAGCGCTTCAACGGGAACATCGCTCCTGCTGGTGCAGGAGGACGGCCAGAGATGTGGCGAGAGAGGGGTACCGTCGGACGAAGGTTCAATGGAGATCCTTGAGTGTGGCTAAGGCTGCAGCCAGAAGGTAACAAGTGGCCGAGAGTGGCCTCATGGGCAGACACTGTAGTTGGGAAATGCAGCGTGCAGAACAAATTGATATCATACGGGATAGCCGGATGCAAATACAGACAGCACAGGGGCGGTTTTTGCCCACATGAAATGAAGCAGGGGGGGAAGGAAGAGGAAGGAGCTGGGAGGAGGGGGATGATGATGAGGAGGAGGACCACTATCTTCCCTCGAAGCATTGTCGTCTATCTTCGTTCGCCGCCGAACAAAAAGAATGCCAAGCAGGCAATATTGGGCTCCATTGGAGCAATTGGTCTTCAATATCCTGCTGCCTCTTTCCCAGAATTCTGATTCGTTGATGGTTTCTCAACGTTCTTTATTGGCACCCTTCGGTTGCCTCCGAACCTCGGGGTCTCCATCCTCCCTCTGAAAACCCCTGTCCAGCGACA